GTAGGATACATGTAAAATAAAGTCTACTGAATAGATAAAGATAAGTGTACGATAACAATAGCTCTTCGAACTTGTTTTATTTTTGCCACACTGCAGTTGGTTCTCCTTGTTCACAAGACTCGCGATGACAAACGCGCTTGATTTTGACCCCCTCGCACTTAAACGAATATTTTTAGGAGTTTAAACTACAACAACAAGATCAGTTAAGGAACTTTAGCTCATCTTGTGTGCCAGGATCACATGTCCTCTAATTAATTCAATATATTAAAATCTTATATTCAGATCAGGATGAAACACCGCCGCCAGAAAGATTCCCCGGTCTTTCTTTTCGCGCCCTATTGTACTTGGGAGACCAAGACGGGAAGCAGAGCGATGGCGTCATGACTAGGGTGAGAAAACGAACTGATATATCTTCATAATGATGAGGAATATTATAAAAGTTGAATATAGATAAAAATGTTTGGTATCATTACTTTGAATATGCTCTTCTGCACGTCATGTCAATATTATAATGTAATTTTTGTCAACAGTTTCTGTCCTGGTTTAAATTATTTAAATTGCCGCCCTAAATTGTAAATCATAAAGCCATGCATATACTTCTGCACAAGTGCCTTTTTTCCAGCCTGAAGACGAACAGATATTGTGCCCCCCTGGTTTTGCTCCCGATGGCCAAGACTGCCGCCCCGTTATGTACAACTTTACAGTAGTGAAGTCAGTCGTTTCCTTGCACTTTGAACCCTGTGGCTGGCTTCCAACACCAAGAGATGACTGTTATGATATCATACGAGATAGTCGATTGAAAGCTGTACGGAGTGCTGTTCAGGCAGGTGCTACTTTCTGTAGTCAGAAACTCGGCGCGAAAAAGCACGTCCATCACATTTGTCGTTAACACAGCGGTCACTCTGCGCTTGAGACTAGCCCATTTCGAGGAAAGTCGCAAATATTTCGCCCAGGTACAAGCGTGGATGGAGGGGTCTCTGCAAAACGAGCAGTTGGAGATATCCGGAGGACCAGTTGGTATACGTTCAGGTTCGTTTTCTGCCTGCATGAAGAACGCCACGCACCTCGGGTCTGTGACTCCATTTTATGGTTCGACCACGCTCTCAACCCCGAAGCAGAACCGAGGAAACGGTCACAACGGTAACTTTTGGCTTTTGGTGTTAATGGCGACGGTGGCAGCGGTGAGGGATTTCTAGCTCTGGGTAAGAGCATTACAAGAAAGAAATACAGGTAGGATTAGATGCTACTAGGCTGATTGGCTGATCATTGGCTGATACATTGGCTGATCAAGCTATACATTGGTATTGTACGTTTTAACCTGTTGTTAAGTTTTGATTATTATAAGGTTAAACGATTACAGCTTTATCAAAATTCGTCTCAAATAGTTGTTTGAGGTTTGGTTTTTTACCCTTGATTTGTTTGTTAGTGAGCAGTCTAACTTTAATAGTAATAAACTTTTCAGGATAAGTCAGAAATGGGCCAACTTAGAATAGATTATATTATGGTAGCGATTTTTTATTCGATGAAAGGTACATATATATGTATGAACCGAGTATCGATGGGACTTTGAGTTTCTAAGAATCAGACCAAGTTGTATGAGTTTTATCATCCGTGGTACACCGTGCGTTGATGAAAGATTAAGTGACCATTTGACAATTCGTGTAATTCGTAAATTTCAAGTAATCTACACACGCTGGACAATAGAAGTGTCACCCCTTCTGAACCAATACTTTGGGGGAGATAAATGACTGTGGAATGATATGCTCCTGGTATCATTTTATTAACATCAAATTTCACAAAAGAAACGGTTCTGACTGAACAACTAAACTATATCGATATTCTGACATTGCTTATATTCCGCCTCTTCAGGTTAATAACTTTGATTACTCTGATTCAGGGGGTGACACTTCTATTGTCCAGTGTGTATACATTTCATGATTTTAGTTAGATTAAGCATTAATATTAATTTTATTAAAATAGGAAAAGAAGATCATGTTATTATTCTACGCAATGTTTGAAAGGATTTATTTGTTCTTTGTAAAAGCCTAGGTTACATTTGCCACCGGCGAAGTACCATGAAATCGTATACGATTTTCTTTGCAATTTTTATTTATTTATTTATTATGATTTTTTTGACATCGATTGTAAGTGTTTACGGGCTACGGCGAGGACGTTTGCATTTCGTGCCGATGCCTTGGCATATCTCCGACATGAAGTTGAGGTCAAGTAGGCAAAAAAACAGTTTTTAAATTAAAAAGTGGGGGCTCAGAGCCCTTTCAGTGCAGTTGCCATACGTCTTCCTTGCGGCCTCCTTGAAGATCGATTCGCTGTCGGTGCATCACCCTACGATCATTGGCACCGATGTGGTTAGAAATTCGTGAAAGTGATCAACACAAAGTTTTCTCTGATATTTTTACTATTGTTATGCCCGATTAAACCACCAAAGGCGGAAGGGAAAAAGCCCACCAACAGGTTCAGCCATCATCACGATCACCGCTAGTCCACGGAGCAATACCCATACGGGAAATGTTCAAAGATATCTGTGGTATTGTCACGGCCGACGTGCTTGCGATATTCAAAATTTGACGAAATTTTTAGTTGACAATATCGTAGAGGCTATGGTTACCGTGAATTCCACAAGATTTTGCAAGGTCGCCGCTTGCCTCCGTTCAGACGTGGAACGAATATGGATTTGCGGGCAGTATGGCTGCACCGTAAGGACATCGCATGACAAATGTAATCTAGGCTTATGATTACTTATTTGCGTAATTTGACATTCATTCTAATCCGTTTTAAAGAATTTGAAGTTTTAAATGTTGTGAATGTATTATGTTGTGCATTTGTCATGTTGTAAAGCAAAAAAAAAAATACGGTTACCGTTTTATTAATGGCAAATTAGCATAATTTTTATTCAAATTCAATTATTTATAATTTTGAAAACTTTAAACTGCAAGTATAATTTTGTTAGGAAGTAGATTAAATGCCTGTAGTGCAGAACTGTACTCTGTATTAGACAAGAATCGAATTTATTCATGTCTCCAGGATTATGTTAATTGTTTGATTTCACAATCAAAAAAGTAAAATGTCATGACGTTTATAACAGCTGCTCGCTGGACGCTTACAATTTGGGGTCAATTAATTGAAAGAAAATCATTATATAAGTCTCATTTGGGTTAGGCAGAAATAAAAACGACCTTCACTGGCCTAAGACAATTAACCAACATGTTGCGTTTGTCATTTTTTCCGTTAACTGATTAAGTACTACTTGGGGCGTTTTAGATAGCCGATTTATTTTGATGGGGCGTGAAATATTTTCAAGGGGATTGTTGAATGCATTGACAGAATAGAATGGAAGATTTTTATATGCAAGAAAGGCAGTCTATTATTCATATGTACTACTGGTTAACAAGAGATGAAGCACGTGATAATATATCAAGGGCTACATTCACACACAAGTTCATCCAAGGACTAACTGATCCGTGGGTCAAATATGGTGTGCACTGGAAAGCATGCACGCCCACACCGGTCTTGCATTTGTCCTCCTCTACTTCTACCTTCTTTCATAGCATCTCCATCCCAGTGTACCACAAACTTTCATAATCCCATTTAAAACAAGAAGGGAGGGAACATAGAATGTTGGTTGTTCGAGATTTGGCCAAACAAGGCCGCTTTTGTTATATAGCCCCACTATCGTAAACAATTTCTGGAGACTGTTGTCGCCTTAAAATGTCGTTTGACTACGCGAAACTTGCTCTTCGTTGCGGCTGTCTGGGGGGCATCTATACCCTCCTCCCTCACACGCAGTGTTATATACTTGAATAATAATTTCTCGCCATAATCGTACCTGTACATCATACCATGCATTCTTCTCGGTTTGAAATAATGCATTATAATTATTTTGGCTTTTTTGAATGAAAAACAAAATAGTTGGAATTGACAGTCCTGACATCACTGTCAGGATATGTATTATGTCACGACTTGGAAATATATCTTTAAATAATTTTTCAAATTTACTTGTACAGTTGTAAAGGTGCAATAAATCTTATCCTGTTTTCAGCCCGTTCAACTCCCTCAATCATTTTATTATTTGACTTCGTGATTTTTTTTTTTTTTTTTTTTTTTTTTTTTTGAGGGCTGAGGTAAGAAAGTTCTATTCAAATATTGGACAGAAAGCAGAAAGGGGATGTTCATTCCAGTTTGAAGGATGACAAGTGGGGCAAGGCCATTCAAGGTTTCAAAAGTGACTGATAGGGCGAGTTCATTCCACGTTTCAGGGGTTGCTAGATGGGGAGAGTCCATTTCAGACTGAGGGGGTGACAGGTGGGACGAGTACGTTCCAGTTAGAAAGGGGTGACAGGTGGGACGGGTCGATTCCAGGTTTTGAGGGGTGACAGCTGGTGTCAGTCCATTCCAGAATCTGAAGGGTGACAGGTGGCTCGAGTCCATTTGAGTTTAAAAGAGGTGACATGTAGGGCGAGTTAATTCCAGGTTTTGAGGCGTTACAGTGTTAATTTTCAATGGTTTGGGTTAACCAGGAGTACAAATCGGGCTCAGTAAGTGGAGAAAATGGAAACTGTAAAGGACGAAGGTAATGGGAAACGGACTACGATTCGTAGCGGACGACCATTCCTTTAATTTGTGGATTCGAAAAATAAAAAGCAGTGTGAATTTCTTTTGAAAATTCCTAATAATTTGAATACATGCATGTATGCGCGAATAATACTTACCTTCTCGTATATCGTGTCGAGGCAAATGTAACATGATAAGTACAGTAATTTTTCATTTTTAAGCTTTATTCATTAGCTATGTGGGAAATGCAAACATGGAGACATATGACGTAAGGCTTATGGACTGAAGTTACCTAGCAACAATTCCCAATTTACTGATCAATTATATACATTTCCATAGCGGTAGATATCTGGGTGATTTTTTGTGTCATTCTCATTCTGACTAAAAGCTGTATGCAAGCAGTCATGACAGAAATGCGATCAACACTTTTTATTCGCTTCTCTATTTTCATTACGATTGCTTGTGGGCTAAACACGGGCACGAAAAACGGCGTTACAGCAAGACCCGACATTTTTTATGGTACACCAGGAAAGTATTTACCCAATGCTGTATTAGAAAGCAGAGAAAAACCAGGAGGAATAAGCAGGATAGAATGCGCAGCGGAATGCGAGGCAAACCCAGAGTGCAAGTCTTTCAACGTAAGATCTGACAACACCGTGTGTGAATTGAATTCCGCAGTTGATTTCACACCCACCAAAATGGCCCTTAGTGACGATAGCGCCAGTCGATATTACACAAAGGTATGTAACGTACCAGTAGTCTTCTTATGTCGCACTACCAAGGTTCAAAGACCTTTTTAACTTTATACACGAAGAAGAAAACAGTACGGAGGCAATCTGTATTATTATCATTATATTATGATTTTGTGTTCTCATTAACGCCCGCAGAACGTTCGCTAATATCTTGTTTCATATTGTTTTAGGTCCCACACGACTGCGGTAATTATAGTAAGTTTTTATTTTAATGTGCACATTTATAGGATACTTTAAAAAATCACTGAGATAATACACCTAAATGGTACCTATGTTCCATTCCATTTATTAATCTCTCTGTGAAGGTGATGTGTGTTTTTCCTTTTATCTCCATGGCTCTCTTTCTGTCTCTATTTGCATCATTCCGTTTTTTTTCTTATAATGTCCGTTGGTCTCCTTATGATTTCTGTCATTTTAATTCCAGTTGGGTTGGATGGCGTTCACTGTATTAACGTCAACTCTATGAATAGACAACTCCGGGTATCATGTGAGGAAGGGTGGACGGTTCTGATGCGCAGAACAGGACCTGAGTTAAACTTTAACAGGTATGGCCGGATTTAACCAAAAAGATTCCAAAAGGGCAACAGTTTTGTCTTGATGTGAATCTTTAAAAAATCATTTTTTTCTTTTATAAGGGGAGTGGTATGTAATTATTTAGTACAGCAATTAACGTAAATGATCGGTAAACGTTCATGTTAATGACGATAATTCTACTCAACCCTGCTTCTCGTGTTCTCCAATTTATTTTCTTAAATTTCGAAGATAAAATAGATAAGCGAGAGAACAGAATATCTTAATTTACATACATTGTGTAATAGAGTGCTTTAGCTTGGCTCACGTTTGATTTTGGAGATAAATAAAAGACGACATAGTTTTATTTTGACTTTTACTGTAGGCCTTGGGTCGATTACCGTAACGGATTCGGTGACGTTGCCGGCGACCACTGGCTGGGACTGGAAGCGTTTCATCATCTCACCAACCAGGGAAACTACTCCTTAATGGTCGAAGTAAGGAGCTTGCTCACTGACAATTACTACTGGGAAATCCATCACGGTTTTCGCATAGGCCCGGAATCGAAGAAATATGTGTTGCACAAATCTTTGCGCGGTTCTGGAAACCTGTCTGAAGGGAACTTTTGGTCCTATAGTTTCGACATGTTGTTTTCTACTAATGACAGAACCTATGGTAAACGTTGTAGCGAAAAATTCCGCGGAGGTTGGTGGTACAATTTTTGCGCAATGGTCTCTCTCACCGGCAAAATGGCCGTTCCAGGAGAATGCAAGAAGGACTGTTGGCCGTGGTTTAAGCACAATGGCCTGCCTGGTAGTAACAACGACAATGAGAACGCCTTGCTTCGTTGGGCTGTCATGAAGATAAAAAAGGTTGACTGAAAATACGAAAGAGGTAGAGGGCGTTGACGATGATGATTTGGATCACTACAGGGTTGAAGTTCGAACGTCCTAAACGGAGATAAAACATTGGATGAGGATGTCTCATTTTCACTCAAATGACCAAAATGCCTACATGCTAAAGCTGATATGTTTTCATGTAGCTGATGATACAGAAGTGCGACTTTTATAGCCAAGATAGCAAAAATTAGCTTGATAGCCAAGCGTACCGCCCAGATGTTGAGTACTTTCCCAGACGGCAGCTAATCCATGAGCGCAAACAGAAAAAAAAATCGTAACTCGACAGAAAATCTGTGTTTTGTTCTCCAGTGAACATTTATACCGACAGAGAAGATAAAAAAACAAATGATTTTACCTCAGCACGAAACCTTTAAAATCAAAACTGATACCCAAACAAGTTGGAATGAGTAAAAAAAAGGGCTGCAAAATGGTCTGATTCTATAGCATATGTTTCTGGTGATTCAGATTCAGTTAACGTTTGGTAAAAAAGATAAGATGAATTATTCTGTTACTGATATTGTTCGTCTATGGTCCATTTTTTACCATCTGGCGGCGCCTTCAGTTAACCTGGATCACTAGGGCTGTGTTTTCTGGGGTGGAATCCTCGGGGGAGTACACGAGGCCCGAATGACAATCGATCGTCGTGAAATCCATTCTCTTGACATTGATGTTATAAAATATTCATAGCATACAATTGAACCAATATTTATCAATCTTTGTTGTTTTTTTTTTCATTTGTATTTCATTGTTATCTTCGGTATGATAGATTAAAATTGACTATAACAGCAAAAATATTGAATTTTGAATATGTAAAACATCAAAGATGGCAAACAATCATCAGCAACCATCAGCATCGTCTATGAACTTATTCTTGATGTCCATTTTTTTTTGTGCTTAATTATCTAGTTTGGCAGTCAGAATACAGCCCTCAACGGTCTAGAACTATCGTTGACTAGTACTCTGGGGCATTTTGAATTGTGAAATGTTGAAAAGAAGACCGCCGTCATACATGTTGTATCCACTAGTAAGCATTTCTCTGTCGAACAAATATGTTATTGTTTTTTAACGTTAACCTGATAAAAGGTTCGTTGTGGAAATGAAATTAAGAGGTGTGAACATCGTATGTTTACTTAATCCCATTCGGCTGAATCAGTTCAGATAGAAATTCAATTTTTGGGTCAGACTAGCTACATGTATATAAAAAGTTAAATGTATGGTTGTTTATCAGTGAACATTAAAGGTGTGTTTATAATTTGTTGTTTATTTTTATAAAATTGCAGTCGTGCATTTGACCCTGTTTTGGAAGTTTACACCGCCCCTATCGCCTTTTAATGGTTAAAATTACTGAGAAGATTAAAAATATGAATGTTACGTCTTTTGACTAGAAATATATGTCAGAATAATTTTGTTAGTTTTAATTATTAAAACAAATTGACAAAGTACGTTTTCCATTCCTGTCTTCATCATCTAACATCTGAACTTTGACAGTCTGATAATGCAGGTATTGTGGTCGGAAGCTGGTACCCGATGTTCTCGGGCCGTGGGGAAAACCCGTCTAAACCCTTCGTGGGGAATGCTGGGAAAGCGCTCACGCTCGGATACTTCAGACTTTATAACATAAGTTTTTTATTGGCACGGCGCCGTATAGTTCAAGAATGTCGTCCCCTTTTAGACAGCATGGTGTGAATCAAGTCTCTCTCGTGACTGCAAACTATTCTCCGTATATACTTAACTTAAAATGAGGCACAAAAACTCAACAAAGTTATTCCTACAGAAAAAGGTGCTGAAGCCAATTAAGACATTTACAAGAGACTTACACTGAAACACAATTATAACTAGAAAAGCACTCCGAGAGCGCAGACCAAGGCAGCGATATTTGATTATTATTAATTATTGATTGATTATTGATCCGGATCACCACCAAAACTAATCATCTCTTCCTTGGTCTACTTCTGACAGTTCCTGAAAATTTCATCAAAATCGATCCATAAATTTTTGAGTTATGTTGATGACAGACAGACAAACAAACAAACAGACAAACAGCAGGGGTGAAAACATAACCTCCTTGGCGGAGGTAATAACTAACACCAATTTTATCTTGGGAAATTAATAAATAAAGTTACTCGATCCTTTCACAGCTGAAAGAATCCTTCAAAACTTAATAGTACTTCTTTCTAATGATAAAATACAAATAGATTCAGGGAAAGTCTTCACTTAATTTAGTAATAATGGGTAGGGTTAGCCTGTCCTACAGTGCACGTGGGTCAAAATCTAGCGCCAGCCTCACCTGTACAAATGAATGGGGAGCGGACTCTCTATCCTGAGGGAATTTCTGTCCCGTTAAATCAGTTTGAAAATCGAACCTTGGACTTGTCTTGCCTGAGAACACTCACTGATTCTCAGCCTATAGGTTCATTTTATATTTAAAAAATTCATTAAGAAGAATTAACGAGAGAAAAAAATTGTTTGTCCAAGTGAAATTTTACTTACATCAGTCCAGCATCTTAAATTACTGCAAAAATTTACTAGAAAAAATTACTGTTCTGACACAAAAAAAAACGGACTAAAAATTAAACCATTGTTACTGTTGCTCGCAGCACAATCTCAAACGATGTAGTTTATTTTTAATTTTTAATTCAATTTTAATTAATTTTTTATAACGCAAAAAAATAGATTGCAGCAACGTTCGCGGTGTCATCTGGCTTTCAAAAATTGAAAAAGAAATTTGTGACGTCTTTTGCCGCAGGTCATTATTTTTAATTGCTTGATGTTTTTGTAATATTTTAGTCATTTATAGAATCTTCATTTCAGTTACATCCAGGGTTAGCTATCCGGTAAGGTTGATGACTCTTTAAATTTTGTATATTAAATTATTATTTACTTAATATTAAATTGGTCTGTCCCCTTATTACAATTTACAATTTTAATTCATTAGTATTAGTATTAGTATTATTATTATTATTATTATTATTATTATTATTTGGGGGGGGCGGTGAAAAAATGACCCCCATAGGATCCGCCCCTGAACATATCTATTTTGTATTCATTTGTCCATTGTATGAACATGCAACGGGTTGGTGGGGGGGGGAGAGGCTGCATGTTCATTCATAATTGCATAATAGGGCCTATGTAGACATTATATTGAGAGTCGTCAAAACATTCCACCAAACTCAAGTCATCTAACAATTTTCGCTACAGGTGTCCTTCGCTTGTTCTAATAAACAGCATGCCTTGTTTAGTTTGTTCATTTTGGCAACCGAATCAATTTCGAAGTAGACGTAAGAAGTGGATTTATTTACGTTTTGTGTACACAATTCTGCTATTGAAAAAACAAGGGGCCGTTCAGAATGAGTTACAGGTGTCGACCTAACTAACACTGGGGCTGTCTTTCTTTGAATGAAATCAGATTAACACACTAAGACTGCATTCCCATGGATTTAGATCGATCCATCTAGATCGACCTAACTCCCTGGGGGTTCACGCTAAATAGCTGTCAGCCGAGCGGGCACGAAAGTTAATTACCCCCTTACAGCTTGTAGTAGGTGGGACGGACATTTAAGCCAGATTATCTGACGGTAATCTAGTGAGACTTCCCACGGGGATAGATCGATCTAAAATCTATGGGAATGCGCCCTTAGTCTGTTAATCCCTACCAGAAGTCAGCTCTGTGATAACGTTTTATTTTTTAATGAAATCCTGTGAGAAAATTTCTTGGTGGACAGCACAAAGATAAGCACAGAGTTGGCCACAGAAAAACACTTAATGTTAATATCTGGCGAAAAACGCATCTGTGTTCCTGGTAGAGGGTGTAGTTACAGTACTTTCTTTAATGTCAAAGCTTACAAGTTGTTTTAAACCGAATTTCCACTTTCACAGCTATTCCATCGCATGCCCACTACAATAAATTCAAGCATGACTAATAAGTTGTTTTAACCCAAGTTTCATCTTTCACAACGCATTGTTTTGTTTTCTCTTCCGCTTACTTCCTTATTCTACAGACCGCCATTCGTTAAAACGCGCTCTGCTTAAGGTGAACTCCCACTCTGAACATGACGCACACATTATCATTATTTCATAAGTCCTTGCTATGAGTAAGACGTACGCAGTACTTTGAGGCTAGAACAAGCTGTACACGGGTCTTTTTGGAGCAATTTACCGACGAATAATATTCTAATGGTCTAACGCAAGAGGCTGTGTTTTCATTTACCGTATCCAGTGATACCAGTTGATGTCCTTATGGAGACGGTCCTTATCGTGGTATTTTTAGATTTCAAACTCATTGCGGAAGAAGACGATGACCTTCGTTGACACTTTTATCGGCTTTTCACACCAGTTATATACCGACAATGGTAAAAAATGGGGCCATCTTCTTTATGTATGATCACGTGGATGTGAAATGTTTACCTGAGTGGCATGGACTGTGATCAAATAAGTTTCACAAGCTTTTTTACCTTATTTTCATCGACCTGGATTAAAAAAAACGTAGGTACTTTGAAGAAACGTTGCCAGTTTTGGGGGACTATACACAGACCCACATATACTCGAAGGTTCGAAACCCTAAAATTCAATCGATGAGGTTAGAATACTACACGGAAAGTGTTGAGACATTTGCCGACTAAATGCCAACATCATAAAGACGGCAGAAAACTTGAATTAATAGATACACCAAGGAGCTCGTACATGTACATGTATGTAGTCACAGGGAAATTTATGAGACAAGATGGATTAATTACACTATTCTATAAATGATAGGACATAACGAGCGAGGAATTCTGGTTACCTGGGCGGGCAGATAAGTGACAAACGACACATTGAGCTGCCATGAATATCCCTGTTTATTTCCAAGTGTTCTTTATTTCGGCTGTGGTCACCATGCAGAAAGGTGAGTTGGGTCTGTGTGTGGGGGTGGGTGCCTGGGGGGTGGGGGGGGGGGTGGTACATGTAAAACAGACATATGCACTGGTCGTTCACTTTCTGTCAAA